ACATCCAGCATTTACTCTGTCATTACCCACAGTGCTAACTTCATGGAAAGAAAGAGCAGGAGGAAGGGACTGGAAAGCCATCGGAACAGGGTAAACGTGTGGGAGCTCAGCAGCAGTGAGTCCTTACTCTAGTCACACCATTGACCAAACAGATGACATCAGAGAACCTGCAAGGCCCTTAGAAGACTAGCAGTAATTCTGATCACTTCCCAGAGTTACTGCAAGTGGTAATAAATACAAATGCTTCTAATAAATATAAAGCTGTTCTGAGAATGCTGATTAATAGCTATTTCAAGGCAACACAATAAATTTGTCATGCACAATATCCTAAAACTAAAGCCAAAAAAAAAAAAATGTAAATTTGTTTAAACCATCAGTTTTTTCAAAACCTGAAGAACAAAACAGATGTATTTATATGTAATATGTCAGCAACTACTATGGGGTAGGGGCTAAGGGTACTCAAAAAAAAAAAAAAAAAATTCTAGTCTCTGGCCTGAAAGATATAAATATCTAGACATTACCATTACTCATGAAAAAGGAATAGAAATTGCCTTTTGATTTCAAGATGGGTTAACTTTTTGATATAACACTCAGCCAATTCATTAACTAGCAATCATTTCCTTACCACCTAATGTGAACAAACTTTACTGTCACTTCTTCAAGAGAATTGGGCCCAACAAAGATCCATATCAATCCCTTTCTTAGAATTTACCTACTACATTCCTACTTCTTGAAATCTTGGACCACCGATTTTGTGTTTTTTGAACAAAATAAATGAATAAGCAGACACACAACAAATCAAAAAATGAGAGACTATAGTTAAATCAACTCAGGATAAAGAGAAAAAGTGTGAAAGAAAGGACACAAGCCAGACTGTGGGTAAGGCAATTATCCTATTTTCAACCTTTTCTTTAAAGTCAGTGTTCCAGGTAACTCTACTCATGATTAATTGTTCTCCACAGTAATGAAAGGTATGGAAAAGCCCTACCAAATGCACTTTTCGGCATTCCTGTAAGTACACCACAGAACAGATAATTAGAATAAGAGAGGAGCAACCGTTGCTGAGGGGGAAAATGTAGTGTTTATGGTTGTAAGATTTATGCCAACGTTTGCAAGCTTTTCCATATTTATTTTGTTTCTATCTTCAGAAAGAATAAGCATTGTCAAAAAAATAAGAGGAAAAAATGAAAATTATCTGAACTATAGATACACTGCTCTGAAGTATGTGGCCAGCTCTAGAGAGCAACATCTATGCCTCAGGAAAATTTAGCCCCTTGTAGCACAAATTTTAGTATGTGTTCTGTTCAAGAAGAGGTGATTATGGCTACTTATGTAAAAGTTATAAAGATGACACCAAAACCCCCATCAACTCCATCTAAAAAGTTACAAAGATGACACCAAAACCCTCCAGTAGCTGGGACTTACAATTGGAACAGAATAAAATACTTTACTGCAAAAGGTAACTGCACTCAAAACTGTAAGCTTGTTTAGCCATGAATTATGACAATGCTATTAATAAAGTTATCCCTACATGAGTCCAGGACTATCATTTTTTCATTCAAATATAGGTTAAAAGTACTCAGAAGTGCTTTGAGAGGTCTCTGGGTACCTTCACAATCAGGGCAAGGAGAATGTGGAAGAAAAGGTGATAGGGAAAGCGTCTTGTGTTATGTATCCTCTGTGAAAAATCAGAAGATATTTTGCATAGAAAGTATTTATGAATTGTAAAGATGGTCCAACGTAGAAATCATAGGGGTGTTGAGGTGTTGAAATTTGAGAATGGAAGAACGCTAATGACTGGGGGTGATGGACCAGAGCAAGAAGGCACTCCGCGAACAATATCCTTCTTGGTAAGTATTTCTGGATGATATCCATTTCCAAATGATTCTATCCACACCAATAGGAACAAAAACAACAGATTCATCCTAGCGCTGCCCACACATGCCTCATTAACCAGACCAGAAGACCCTGTGGAAAGTCAGGGACATGAGAGAGATCTGTTTCCTTTATTTCTCGTGTAACTTATAAACCGTCTGAGAATGTAAATAGCTGAAGAGCTACATCATTTTCTGACTCTTTTGTTCAGGGAAATCAAGAAACGCTCTATAGAGGGCATGGTCTTAAGGGGATATGACATCATGCTATTGCTGTGAGCTTTGCCCACCACACTAAGATTAACACCAAATGGATTCTTTGTTGAGAATTTAGTTTTTTAAAAAATTACCACATAACATCAAGTCATCAGGTTTTTGTTAGGTTGAACATTATCCTCTATTCCAGTCATGTTGAACCCCAGACACTTCTTTAAATAGACCAGGTTTTTTTTTTTCAGTGTCCATATTTCAAAAATGTATTTAACTCAAACTGTGCATGATGGAGTAAAACCTTAAGTTGAAAATGTGCCTGTTATAAGGATGATATTAGTTCAAATATATACATGGATTCTCGGCAGACTGATTCAAATAATGCAGAGCCGAATCATTTAAAATACAACTATGGAAAATAAAGGGGGGAAACCTTAAAATATCACAATAAATTTACAGAAATATTACAAACCATAAGAAAACATTTCAGCACAGTAATTGCATGGGGTTTTTTTTTTTATCTGAACAAAATGGAAAGTTGGGATTGAACAAAAGCTATTATAAATTACCAACGATGTCAACCTGCATGGCCATTTTTGCTCCAGTGAGTTATAAAATTTAGTACAATCTAAAACTTTTGCCCTTTCAAACAAGACCGCAGAGATGGTTTGCCAATACTTAGTCTATTTTTTTTCCTTTTGTACAATTTTTAATTAAAATGTCCAAATTTTAATAATATTCTTCTCTCCACGTTTGCAACTCTCCTAAATTTCAACTGCAGAATCAAAATTCAGCAAGAAGCCTCTCCTTGAAAAATATTGGCAAATTCTCAGCTTATAAACAATGGGCATTTTGATTGCCATGTTTGTCTCGATAAAGACTGTACACAAGTTGCTGGCAAATATTAAAACATTTTTCTTTCATCACTTGGAGACTAGTTCTAAATATTATTGGTAAAGGCTTCTGCAAACTTCCTACAAAGCTCCTACCGTGCCACCAGAACTTTTAAAAGGTTTTTCATAGTTTTCTTTCCTCCAGCTCTATACAAGGTCCTAAATGGACCAGCTTTAACTAGAATCTTGAGGGTCCACACATGGCTCTCCGCTGACAGATCTGTGCACTCCATCCTTTCCTTATTTACCCTTTCATCCCTCAAGAATCAACTTGGGCAGCAGGGTCCTTGTGAGGAAGCCTTCTCAGGCATGGCCTAATATGAGCCAGGCACATTTCTTTTTGTGTTATATAATTGGTTGTCTATCTCTTGCACTAAAATGTATTATAAACTCTTTCATGGCAGGGATCCCAGGGAGTGCAGACTAGTGGTTAGGAGCTCTGATCTTAGAGCCTAGAAGGCTGGGATTTGGGCCCAGCTCAACACTTATTAACTGTAATGTTAGGCAAGTTCTTTTAATGTCTTTACACCTCGGTTTTCCCATCTGTGATAATAATATCCCTTATCTCGTTGGTTTCTTATGAGCATTACATGGGTTAATATATCTAAAGCACCAGAAATATTGTCTATTTAAATGATTGGTCTGGCTATTACCATTACTGTTTTTTCTTTTCTTTTCTTTTCTTTTTTCTTTTTTTTTGAGATGGAGTCTCCTCTGTCCTCTAGGCTAGAGAGCAGCGGTGTGATCTTGGCTCACTGCAACCTCCGCCTCCTGGGTTCAAGCGATTCTCTCACCTCAGCCTCCCAAGTAGCTGGGATTACAGGCACCCGCCATCATGCCCAGCTAATTTTCACATTTTTGTAGAGATGGGATTTCACCATGTTGGCTAGACTGACCTTGAACTCCTGACCTCAAGTGATCTACCTGCCTCAGCCTCCCAAAGTTTTGGAATTACAGGCATGAGCCACCGCACTAGGTCTTTCTTCTTATTCTTCATCATTATTACTTGTCTTTTTATCCCCAGTGACTGCCATAGTACATGGCACTAGGTGTTCAACCAAATGTTTGAGGAATGACTGAATGAATGAATGGAGTCATAAAATGACCAGACTCAATAAAACTACAATTACATTGCATCTTTCAATAATACAAATGACCCAAAAGTACCAATAACTATATACTTCCCATTTATATTACATAAGGATAATCAATGCTCAAAATAAAAACTCAAGAATGATCCATAATCTTGACCTTAGTCTGAATAGTCAACGAAATATTAAATTATTTTCAGTACTAGTCTAGACTGTATGTCACACTGCATTTAAAATTCACCAAAACTTGCTATCCCCCCATGATATAAATGGCAATTCTTAAATGCCCAGAGTATTTATATCAGAATATTCCAGGTCTCAACATTTCTGAAAAAAATGACCATTTTATTGTATTTTAAAGCAAAAATTAGCATTCTTTAGGCATCATTACACATATTAGATACCTGTCTGATAATATACTTATTTGGTTTGTTTTTCCAAGCTGTTTATGTCCACAAATGTTTTAAGGCACATTAATTTTGAAGAAGCTGAAATAACATCAAACTGCCATTGAGGAAGTAGATGCTGAGGAGTCCAAAGGAGCCAGGGAGGTGACAGAAATCAGAGTAACCAAGCCACACTCACAAGTGAATTTCAATCAGTAGGATCACTGCTAGCTCACTGCCCACTTTTAAGCACTAAATTTAGGCCAGCCATTTGTTACCCAAGATTTGGGCATACATTTGTCATTGCTGTTGATTTGTGCACATGGCTGCTCATCCATTTGAGTCACACCACAAACCCAGAAAGGCATGACCCATTTTCAGAAATGCAAAAAGTTAGGTCAGCACCCACATCTGAGGTGCCAAATCCTCTATGTTAAATATTTATGCAGTATCTGTGAGTAGAAATGCTCAGACAAACAAATCAATATTTTCCATGACCTTGAACCAGCTTGTTTGGGAAGGATATTTTCATTCACAGCTTCATACCTTTAATTCTCCAATGGAGGAAAGGAGTCCTGCTCCATATGCCCGCAGTTGCCCTTCTTGCTTGCAAAGGCCAAACTCGATCGTGAAGAAATAGCACTGAGGAAAAATGAACATATATCCAGTGAGCTGGTCAATAAGTTATTCGATAGGATAAAATGGCACCCAAAACAAAATGGTGTACTGTGCATAATTTCTTCAATACATCTAACTCAAGAACATTTATTGAAATCTATTCTCTAGCTTAGTATTATCCCCTAAGTTGAACGTACATGAAAAAAGTATTAACTACTAAGTCTTATGCTTCCTGAATTCAGAAGCACTATGAGTCAGATTATAACCCCTGAAATCATTTTAAAAACAAAAACACAGATACAGAAATGAATAAATATATCACAATGATACCTCCATAACAATATGCTACATATTTACCAAGCTGTGTTTCAATGACATAAATCAGTTTATGCAAATGTGGAAAAATAAGTTGGAATCCAGGAATTGCAAACAGCTTTTTGCAATTTGTTTATTCATTCAACAAACATTTTTTGGGTCCCCATTAGGTGCCAATGCTTGGTAAAGAATTGTGGTTAAAAAAAAAAATGCAAGAGAGAGAAAAACCAAGAAAGCAAGTACCTCTATATGACTACCAAATTACCAAAAACACAATTTTAATGTAATTTTTAGTAAAATCTTAAATGTATATCTATATTTGCACATGTATGTCCATGTGTAGATTTATATATGTGTGTGTACATGCTCCTCGACTTATAATAGGTTTACATTTTAATAAACCCAATAAGTTAAAAATAACATCCTAAGTTGAAAATGCATTTAATACATTTAACCTACTGAACATCCTACCTTAGTCTAGCCTACCTTAACAGTGCTCAAAACACTTACATTAGTCTACAGTTGAGCAGAATCATCTAACTCAAAGCCTATTTTATAATAAAGTGCTGAAAAGATCGAAATTCAAAATTTGAAGTATGCTTTCTACTGAATGCATGTCACTTTCACACCATCATGAAGTTAAAAAAACTGTAAGTCGATCTATTATAAATGGGAAAGCGGTGTGTGGGGGGTGTTATGCACACACACATACACACTTTATTGACCCAAGTTTTATCAGCATCAACTACTACAACATCCCCAGAACATTAATATATTCAATTGCTTCTGTTGGGTTTAAGAAATCAACCTAAGCAGATGAGGAATCTCTGCACAGCAAGGGGAAAAAAAACCCACAGTGCTGTCGAGAGAGGCTGAACTCTATTTTTGCTCTGAAAGAAAAGTGAGATGCTGACAACAAGCAATAAAAATTCCATCAAATTAACACTGTCCTGCATTAGTGATGATAGAGCATTTGAAGGTGTTGAGAAAGAGAATTTAAACACTCCTGAAAAGGAGCAGAAAATAATAATTATTTCTAGCACATGGCAGTTTGCTCTATTTTTATTTGGAGGCTAAGATGTCCTTTGGTTCAGGAAGGTTATATATTTATATATTTTTAATGTGAGAGTGATCTCTGAAGTTGAATTATCCAAAGCTCTGCAGCACTGGGCTGACCCAAAGGACTGATCATTTCCAGGTCATGGAGCTTAACCTCCAGAAGTAAAAATTTTTTTCCTGATTCACCTCCCAAAGTGACTAAAATTATAGCCCTACGCCGGACAGGATGGCTCACTCCTGTAATCCCAGCACTTCGGGAGGCCAAGGCAGTTGGATCACCTGAGGTCAGGAGTTTGAGACCAGCGTGGCCAACATGGTGAAACCCCATCTCTACTAAAAATACAAAAATTAGCTGGACATGGTGGCACACCTATAATCCTAGCTACTCAGGAGGCTGAGGCAGGAGAATTGCTTGAACCCAGGAGGCAGATGTTGCAGTTAGCTGAGATAGTGCCATTGCACTCCAGCCTGGGCAACAAGAGAAACACTCTGTCTCAAAAATAATAAAATAAAATAAGATAAAATAACAGCCCTTCCTACCCTTTATCACAACCTATGGCACCTATCAGCACTTCTCCTTACTCTGTTCTACCTTTTTGTTCTTTCCATCAACCACTTTTTGACATAGCCTGCAATTTCTGTATGCATGATATGTGCGGTTTATCATCTGTACCCCCACACTAGACTATAGACTCCACAAAAGCAGGTATCTCTGTTCATTTAGAACAAGGTTTTCCAAAGTCAGCACTGTTGACATTTTAGGCTACATAATTGTTATGGGAGTCTGTCCCCACAAAAATTATGTAGCCTAAAATGTCAATAGTGCTGACTATTGACATTGTAGGATGTTTAGCAGCATCTCTGGTCTCTACCCACTAGTTGCCAGTAGCCTCCCCACCACTTTGTAACAACCAAAAATGTCTGCAGACATTGGCAAATGTTCCCAGGGGAGCAACATCATCCTTACTCGAAAAAAACTGATCTAGACTAGTGTCTGTAAGATACTAGGCCTCAATAAGAACCATTAATAAATAAATGGTGAATGAATGAATGATCTCAAAGTTAGGCTTGCATGTGGAGAATGACCTGGAAGAAACACACAAAGGGATCCAAGTTCTAGTCTGGGCCCTGCTTCTAATTAGCTATATGACTCCAACCATGCGCTGTAGTTTTCCTTCCTGTGACATCAATCCATCTACTCGTTCATCTATTCTGTGGCATCCATCCATCCATTCATTCATCTATTCTACAAATCCTTCTTCAGCAACTATTACATGCCAGACTGCCCTAGATGCTAAGGATACACAATGAACAAGGCAACAAAGCCTGTAATCCCATGAAGCACATATGCTACTGGGATGAGACAGGCAATAACAAAAACAAAAATCAATAGCCAGGTAGCGTCAAGTGGAATGTATTCTATATATAATAAAAACCATGTAATATGTCAAATATTAAGAAGGGAATGCAATTATTTTAGAAAAAGGGTCAGGGACAGCTTCTGTGAAGGGGTGATGTTTAAGCTGCAAACAGCTTTAAAAGCAGCTTTTCATTAAGAAATTTAAAAAGGCAGTCGTGCAAGGATCTAGAGAAAAGGATGTTCCTAGAAGGGAAAATAGCAAGTGCAAAGACCTTGAGGCAGGAATAGATTTTTTCTTTCCAAGAGCAATGGGAAGTTGCTGGAGGGTTTTAGGCAGGAGAAAGATATGTACTAACTCAGCTTTCAAAAGGTCATGGAGGTGCTGCATGAAAACTAGATTGTAGGGGAGCAACGGTGAGTGAAAACAGACCAGCTAGAAGGCAGTGACACCTAACAGTGGTGAGTGATCAGGAATATGGCTCGGGCTAGGGATGGCAAGGGGTTGGAAGTAAATATCACAGAGCCCTTAGGAGAAGAACCAAGATAAAAAATGCAACTGCATGAAATAGAAATTCCATTTGACCCAGCAATCCCATTACTGGGTATATATCCAAAGGATTACAAATCGTTCTACTATAAGGACACGTGCACACGAATGTTCATTGCAGCACTGTTTACAATAGCAAAGACCTGGAACCAACCCAAATGCCCATCGACGATAGACTGGATAGGGAAAATGTGGCACATATACACCATGGAATATTATGCAGCCATCAAAAACGATGAGTTTGGGTCCTTTGTAGGGACATGGATGAACCTGGAAACCATCATTCTCAGCAAACTGACAGAAGAGCAGAAGATCAAACACCGCATGTTCTCACTCATAGGCGGGTGTTGAACAATGAGAACACATGGACACAGGGAGGGGAGCACTACACACTGGGGTCAGTTGGGGGGAAATAGGGGAGGGACGGTGGGGGGTGGGAAGCTGGGGAGAGATAGCAAGGGGAGAAATGCCAGATGTAGGTGATGGGGAGGAAGGCAGCAAATCACACTGCCATGTGTGTTCCTACGCAACAATTTTGCATGTTCTTCACATGTACCCCAAAACCTAAAATGCAATAAAATAAATAAATGGGAAAAAAAAAAGAAAAGCTAAAACACAGCCTTCAAGTATATCCTCAAAAAATGTTTGCATAATTCTGGGTGCAAAGAAGAGAAGTAATCACACAGTCATAGAATATAGAACAAAGGCTTAGAAGTTCAGCTCTCCTATTTTACCTAAAGGAAAACTAAAATTGAGGAAGATGAAGGGATTTACCCAGGAGCAGTCTAGTCAGCGACATTTAAGAGATCTAGAGCTCAGAATTTTAGGAGTTTGACATCAACATCTGCCACATTTTAAAGTTTCTAGATAAAGAATTAATAGACACATGATTTTCCTTTACAACCAAAAAATTGAGAAATAAAAGTCTAAAATGGAGGAAAACTAGAACATCACAGCATCTCCTTGGTGTGCCTTTGCTGATTTTCCTAATTTATATTGCACTTACAACACCTGACATGAAATCTTTGGAGCCTTAACATTGAATATGGGAGAGCTCTTAGAAAAATGTGCTGTCAAATTCAAAGGGATCCAAAATACACATTCAGAGCCAGCTACAGGAGGGTTTTGGTCAGCCTATTAAGCATGTTTAATTTTTCCTATGCTAAATCAATGCATACATAATGCATGGTCACAGTTATCATCTAAACCAAAACACAGTAAGAGAGCCTCTGAAAAAATCTGGTATGCCATAGACACACACAGTCTTCCCATAGAATTGGCAAACCATCCTAGTTTAAGGTAAGAATTAAAAGGTAGGTCTGCATCAATTTAACTAAAGAGTCAAAGCTAAATCTCTCACCCAGTGTGTCTTTAGTTAATGTGCTTCCAGAATCAGAGCAACCTCAGAGGAAAAAGCCCCTGTGTTCTTCCTTTCCATCACTCAGAATGCTCTCTGGCCCCAGATCCCATCTGGGAGTCCTTCCAGAAACTCTGGCCTTACAGAGCACCATCTGCTCATTCCCTATCCACTTTCTCCTTTGGTATCCTGCTGTCCTCAACCGAGGAAGGCCCCTAAATGCTATTTCTATAGCCCATTCTCTTTACAGAATTAGACTTTTTGGTTTGGGACAGTTTTCTATTTGCAGCTCCATGTGTGGCTAACAGATAAACAGAAATGGTAAGGTGCATGTGAAATTAGGTTGTTAGCAAAATTTGAATCACAAACTTGCTCTGAATAAT